GTTAGAGAATGGTCGAGTTTCATTCTTCTGTATATAGCTGTCCAATTTTCCCAGCACCATTTATTGAAGAGACTGTCTTTTTTCCATTGCATAGTGAATAAATTTAGTTTACAGTAATTGCTGAAGGAGATTATTGAGAGGATGTGACTGCTTGTTGACCCTCATGTTATACAGGGGCATTTGGAGGCACCTTACCCACTCCTCTGTCCCTAGGATATATATGTCACCCACTACTGTCACACTGGGAGCTGTTTTAAGGATATAACCTTGAAAGAGGAAAGTGTTGTTGAGATTATCTGTATTGAATACATGACTGAACTAAGTTATAGACTATAAATAAAGTTAAGATTCTGGAAGGTAGATGTAGAAATCTACTGTTCTTGTGGCAGCCCAAGACAAGCCTTGTGGGAAAATTCCCTTATTACTAAACTTACCACCTACCAATCTGGAGTGGTCTCCCTCTTTCTACTGTCTCTCCTTGCCCTCCATGTACATGGGCCAATATGCAAGCCAACAGTAACTTAAAGAAACAAGGAGCTGAGAAGGTTTTCATTTCTGTTTTTAAAGAACTGCAGAAAGGATTCAAATATATATATATATATATAACAGACTGTTTTTGAAGGAAGGGCATCAGAGAAAGTCAATTTGGTTAACATTAGGCAATCATATATAAATGGTCATGTATGTGTTTAATTTTAAGGAAATAATGTAAATTTTGAATTCTCCTAGGTTCACTAAGATGAGAATAAAGCCACAGTTGTAGTCACATCAAACAGTAACAGAAAGAATAAATACCTAGTTGATAGCATGAGGCAGAGTGTTGATTTTTGCAGACAAGTTGAAAATCTCATATATTCTGAACATGATCTTAGACTTAGCTGCAAGTTGTATCAGTGACACATTTATAATGAAGTGAATCCTTTGCTTGTTTCTAAATAATAACTGTGAGATTGAGGTAGATGAGTACCTAAGTGATGCCTGTGCAACTGGGGGCACTTATGTTGATCTTTACAGCACCTTAACTGCCTGTGTCAGAATGGATTTCAAGGTAGGCACACATGCTAACCAATAGTATGATACCTGAAGGTTAATTTGAGGTGGAAGTAACTCCTTATTTTTAGAAGATACATTCATCTGGTAGACATTCACATTAATTTCTTTTTCCAGGAGAACATTTGAATATATAATATCTGCTTGGATTATTTTACTATATCTTCACATAATCACAGAAATAGATATATTTAGTGTTGAATGAATATTTTGCTTTTGTAAATAAACCAGTTTTTTTTAGGTTTATCAACTATAAGTCCATTACACTTATATTTATTATTTTTTTAAGATTTATTTATTTGAGAGAGTGCACATGTGAGTGGGGGAGGGGCAGAGAGAGAGAGGGAGAGAGAAGCTTAGGCAGACTCCATGCTGAGCACGGACGTGGCTGCCATGGGGCTCGATCTCAGGACCCTAAGATCACAACCTGAGCCAAAACCAAGAGTCTGGTGCTTAACTAACTGTGCCCCCCAGGCACCCGCATTACACTTATATTTACAACTTGTAATATTTCTATTTATACCACATTCCATTCTGTTACCGTGGTAACTCTTATAGTAGCCCTTGTTAATATATATCATTTATCTTGGTAAAGAGCTGTTTATGTTTTTAAATATTTATAGTTTTTTACTTTAGGAGGAAACTCTAAGAATAGACCTTTGTTTTCCAAGATTGGAAGAAGTACTAAGACTCTCAATACTTTATATGCAAGCAAATACTATCAGGCTGCCATCATTACAAGCCAAAATGTTGTCCAAGATCTATCTTCTCAAAACTGTTCCTAATTCTATTTCTGTGTGAATGATTGATTCAAGAATAAAGCACTGCATAATCTTTAAGCAATAAGAAAGTCATATTTGTTTTGAAAACCATGAATGGAACAGCTGGGTTTTTTTTCTTAACCGACTGAGCCACCCAGGCGCCCCATGGGTTTTTTTTCTTATTAAATCTGAGAAACTGGTTTTATGTGGTTAACCTTAAGAATGATCATCTTCAGATACTGTGTGGCCACTTATTAAAATTTAATGTACTACTTATCATCAACAAAAACTCAGGATAATTTCTTAAAATTGAATGACACAGAGCAAAAAACAAGGTCTTTTGAAGAAGTGAATTTTGGCATATCCCCAGCTATAAGGAACAAACCAAGGTTTTTAAATGTGCCCTTTTTTTCTCACAAAGCTGATTCATAAGGAAAATTACCAAAAAAGTAATTTTAAGGTTTAAACAAAGTATTTATTCACTCATATTATTATTTTTAATTTTCACATTTTCCTCAGTTTACCTTGATGTTCTAATGTCATATTTTCACTTAATATTTTGTTAGTGATCATAATAATACAAATAGATTTTCTATTGAGGTAGGTATGCTCTTTCCTATTTAGATATCTATTGCATTAATTTCTCTCCAGCCCAGATTCATTTCACGATTTTAGAGAAAAATATTTAAGAATATTAGAAAGATTTCCATTAATCTAATTTGCAAATACCATGTGTTATGTGTCAATGACAATTTTTCTATTCTTATTCAAAATTGGCCAAAAAAAAAAAAATAGCTTTCAAAATCTTAAGAATCAATTCAGTGTCAGTTTAGGCTATGTTTTTAAATTTTAAATTTGCTTTGCAAATTAACAAACAATCCAAATGACATACTATGAAAGTCAGCTTTAGAAACACAGTTCTAAGTGGAGCATTCATGGGAAATCTGCACTGCAGAACTAGTTAAAAGAAAATGTTAAGGGGTGCCTGGCTGGCTCAGTCCATAGAACATGCAACTCTTGATCCCGGGGTTGTGAGTTTGAGTCCCACCTTGGGCATATAGATTACTTTAAAAAAAGAAGAAGAAAAAAAAAATGTTAAAATTATATAGTTAATGAATACTTCTGATTTATTTACTTTCCTTATAGACCTGCTTTTTGAAATTAATAAAAAGGAATGTGACTCATCACCCTGCCCCTATAACACTACAACTACAGAGTTCATGGATAAATACAAATGCTTGTGTCCCCCTGGCTTTATTGGTAAGTAACATTTGACAAATGTGCCTTGTGAAAAAAAAAAAACACTTAGCCCTGGGGGACATACATCAGGATGCTATTGATTCACTACTATTTCCTTTTTGTTCCTTTTATATTTTCTTAGATTAACATTTGATTTGTATCCCAGTAACTTGAAACATCTATTCTGTCTCTAGAATCCAAAGCAGAAAATAAATTATTTCACATCTAAGCAGACTTTGAATGCTTACCAATTCAGAGGAGATTAGTCTGCATTTAGTAATTCCAAGAGAAGTTGTTGCAGTTTGTAGTAAGGTGAAATGAATAGATTCTGACACTAATATATGTGGCATTTTTATCTGAGGAGTTTAGTTTCAAATATCACCCCAAATGGATTAAAAGATTTGGGCAAATTTAAGAACTATAACCTGGCACTTGGTTACCTTATTAAAACATAAAATCTTTTTATTATTTTTTCAAAGTTTCAAGATATGAAATAAATACAGATTTGTGTGCTTCACATCCATGCAAGAATGGAGCTACCTGCATTGACCAACCTGGTAATTACTTCTACCATTGTGTGGCTCCATTTAAAGGTAATGAACACCAAGGGAAAAGGAAAAGCAAACATAATTAACTTAAAAAAGCATTTCTGTCTCTTATCTGAACTCATTTCAGTCTTCCAACAACATTATTAGTCCTTCATTTTCTTAAATTCAGCTTATAAGTGACCAACCAATTATCCCTTAGGCAGAAACTAGAGTGAAGTGAACTTGATTTATACATCCACTAAAACAGATGAGTTTCTTATTTTTCTATTGGAAAGGCCACAGATACAACCAAATGATAAAATGAAAAGGAAGGAATTTATTACCAGTCTATTGTGTTGTATTTTAAATATTTTTTCCTATTCTTTCAATTTCTCATGAAATTGTCAGATTTTCTTTTTTTCTTTCTTTCTTTCTTTCTTTCTTTCTTTCTTTCTTTCTTTCTTTCTTTCTACTAAGTAATTATTATTTGTAAATTATTGTGCACACTAGTACATAAGAAATAAATCATTGGATACTTCTTTGGACTTTATTATCTTTTTTTAAGCTATAGCATTTGAAAACTAAATTAACCAGGGTTCTCCAGAGAAACAGAACCAATGGGAGATATATCTATCTATGTATTATGGCAATTCATTATGAGGAATTGGCTCACATAATTACGGAGGCTGAGAAGTTTCATGATATGCTATCTGCAAGCCAGAGATCCAGGGAGCCAGTGGTGTAATTCTAGTCTAGAATCCAAAGGCATGAGAATGAGGGGAGTGGATGGTATAAATCCCTGTCCAAGAACAGGAGAAAACCAACATCCCAGCTCAGCAGGTAGGCAGAAAAGGAGCAAATCCTCCATTTCTTTAGTTTTTGTGCTACTTAGGCCCTCAACAGATTGGCTGATGCCTGCCCAGTTTGGGAAAGGCAATCTACTTTATTGAGTCTACTGATCCAAATGCTAATATCATCAGGAAACACCTTCACAGACACACCTGGAAGTAACATTTAATCTGGGCACCCTGTGGCCCAGTCAGGTTGACACATAAAATTGACCATCGCAATGTTCAACTATATGCAGTCAATTTAGATATTTTTTAAATGTTGTACCTAATTTCCTTAGATCTTCCTATAATTATTAATGAAAAAATATGACTGTTGACAAATTTCAAATATTTTATATCTCTGTAAACTCACTAAGTTATAGTTCTCTTATCTGTTAAATGGAGATAAGAATATACTTACCTCATTGATTTGAATATAGATTTAATGAAATAAGTCATAGAAATACTACATTGCCTGCCAGATATTAATAATCATCAAGTGTTTAATTGTAATTTTAAATAATTTTCTAACAAATATATGTAAAAACCATGAAATAGGCTATTTTCTAATGTTTCATATTTAGTACATATTTAACTATACAGTGGCAGTATCGTAGCCAATGAGGTTTATCCGAGGCGTGATTATTGCTAATTGAAAACTTTTCCTAATTATACATCTTTTAAAGATACATAGAGAATTATCTAAGCAATCCCAGTAATTTAAAAAAAAAGATTTCATTTTAAAAATAATAAGTTTGACCAGTAACTACATCTTAGTTTCTCATACCATTTTTCAATAAAAGGATCCAGATCTCTTTAGAGATCTAGCTGATTCTAGGACTAAAACGCAGAATATACAAATGAGTGTGGAGAGCTTGTAATGCCAGAAAGCAATGAGGTACTCAAAAAACAAAACCATGAGAGGATGTCAGAGACACATGAACCAACTGCCAAAGCTAAAATAATTTGAGCAAGAAAATAAATGAATAACGAATTATTACCCAAAATATAAAATAAATATTCATGAGTCCATACAGAGAAAAATAAATGATTGATAAATAAATGAGTGGGAATAATAGACACATCTTTTATACAGAATAATTCCAAATAATTTACGTAGATACTTTACACTCAAGGAGATAGAACATAACTTCTCACATCTTAACTTTGTACCTAGTGACTATCTTCCAAAGTGCACAGCATGGAAATGGGGGTTGGGGAAGAGTAACTTTACAGTGGAGAAATCTGACAAGCACTACCTAAGTCAAATGATCAAAGTTAACATCAGTATTGCTAAATCATATTAATAGCATAGACATTTGGCATGAAGTAATGGGGATGACACTTTATCTTAGTGATTTTTTTTCTTAAAAACACATTACCCCAGTCTAATCATGTTAAAATCATCATACAAATCCCAATTCTACAAAATACCTGACTAGTACTCCTTAAAACTATCAAGGTTATCAAAAACAAGGAAAGTGTGCAAAAGATTTTTAGTTTAATATAGTCACAATTGCTCACTTCACCACAGGAAGACTGGTACTCGGCATTCCAAAAGGCTCTGAAGACACTGCCCTTCTTAACCTCCTTAATCCTTGGGAAAGTCAAATCCAGCATGGGTCAGATCAGAAACAAATGATTTGAGGGGGAGGAGCAAGATGGTGGAGGAGTAAGAGACCTAAATTTCGTCTGGTCCCAGGAATTCAGCTAGATAGGTATCAAACGATACTGAACACCTACAAACTCAACAGGAGATCAAAGAAAAGAATGGCAGCAACTCTCTGAACAGAAAAGCGACCACTTTCTGGAAAGTAGGACATGCAGAGAAGTGAATCCGAGGCGATATACGGGAAGATAGACAGCGGTGGGGAGGGGGCCTCCATCAGCCGCTACTTGCAAGTGATAGAGCAGCGGAGCACAATTTCAGAACTTTTAGAAGTCTGCTCCGCTGAGGGACGTTGCTCCGGTGGCTAAGCGGGAAGTAGAACAGTCACTGGGACAGTGTGGTCTCAGGAACCTCGGGGTCACAGAAAGACCATGGGTGCCTGAGTGTGGCAAAGCTCCCAGGTATTGGAGCAGGGAAGCCAGCTGCAGAGACGGAGCAGAGGAGTGGGCTCTCAGCTCGGGGTTGCCATAAACCGTGATCCACGGCACAGTCGGGCCACTGCTCTTCTAGCAGGGAACCAACAAGTGGCAGATCCGGGGAGACTCCCCTTCCTCCCCTGGGAGGAGCAGCACGGGAGTGCACCGCAGTGCTCTGCTGGGTTTGGACACTCCAAATGGGATGATGTGCCAGAGACAGAAATGCTCAGTCACAGGCCGGGTGAGCATGGAGTGCAGCCAGAGACTGGGGAGACGGGAGTGATTGACTCCTTTTCTCTGGGGGCTCACTGAGGAGTGGGGCCCCGGGTTCTTGG